ATGAAAATAACAGAACGCAGCAATTAATAAGCTCACAATTCGGTCAATAAAATCAACAACAAAAGCCAAAAATAAATGCGAAAACAACAATTATAAATGCAAGATATACATATATAAGTGTGTACACACATATATATTAATATAGATATATCATTAATATGGTCGAAGAACTTTGACTTTTGCATGTGCGAAACGAAAGCATTGTATTTATTTATTCGTAGCTATTAATTAAGTTCTATACAAAGGCCCAGCTTTCATTTATATTCATTAACTTTTTCGTCAATCTGTCTTAAAGAATAAGATATATTATCGATAATTATAGCAAGTGCTGCTTCTTCTTTAAACTTGACAACAGGAATACATTGGAATAGAAATTCCAGCAGTGGCTCAGTCAGCACAGCATCGTTTCATAAAAGCTTTACCTACAATCGATGACTATCGTTTTTCGATAGCTTGCAAAATCATCTACCAAACCTTATGGCTAGACTACTCTTACTTATCATCAGCAGAGATCCACGACAACATCATTTATGTTGTCGACCAAAAAAACAACAAATATATTTCATACAAGTTTAAAATTGTTTTTAATTGCACTAGCATATAGTATAAACTATAGCCATAAATTGTCGACGATATTATTTAAATGTCACCGGCTGCTTTACGAGGAATGCGCATTGAAATTTGCATGACAATGCAAAGTTGATTTCCTGCTGTTTAATTAGATTGAATTTCGTGTGGTGAGCTCTTCTACTTGATTCTCATGAATTCAGCCACTTGCTTTCTAGGAATATGCATTTAGATAAGGAAGCAAAGTCACCAAAATTTGTTATCTTAATTCTGCCAAACTAGATGGCTTCAATGTATGTTCAGATAGCTGTACACATTCTGATGAACTAATAGCACCTAGATTTCCCAAAGATTCAATTCACATAGATCCCCGACTTGGAATACGCATTTAGTCTAAGTTTTATGCTGTATCACCTAAAGTCCTCAGAAGGTTACGAAACACTCCGCCCAGATGAAGGTATCTGCTAGTCGGATATTTTCAGCAAAAGTTCTTTGACTTCTCATGAACTCAAGCAAGGTTATTGATCTTATATCACTCGGTTTCAATATCCTATTAATATCACAGATTCTTTTAAAATGTAAGTTAGAGAACATCCAGAGACTTACTCCAGCTTAACTTGCTCAAAGAGATTCGATTGAGATGCCGCAATCTTGAAAGAGCTTTAAAGGCATTTATAAACATTATATACATACATAAATGTATATATGTATATATGAATATGCTCCCTTGTCCAAGCAATGATTAACGTCTATAATATGTAATGTTTGCATTGGCTCGCCAAAAACAAAATTGGGCTAATGAACTGCGATTACTTGCAATTTTGAGGGTGAATTTGACTTGCCTTATAGAGCCATCTATATTAAAGGCGGCACAGTTGTTGGGGCTGCGACGTAGCGCTCGTTATCATCGGGCTGCTAATTTTGATAGACTTGTTGTCATATGCAAACAGTTTATCAAATTTGACTTCTGAACAACGACGCCTCACCTCATGCCTCCCCCGATCCCCCCTCCCACACACACACACACGCACGCACATTATTCACTATTGTGTTTGGGCCATTAGCACTGATTGCCATCTGAGAGTGTGTGCCGGCCCCAACAATACCTCAGCTAAGGGAAAATTACCGGCACTCGAAATGCCAGATGTGGTCTCTCGGCACTACAATTCCTGAAATCAGTTCTATGTGGGTCCAACGTGTTATCTTCTCGTTGACGTTGAAATAGGAACAATGGCAAAGCTATCAAACTAATTAATGGCACTCAAGCGATGATATATATTCTCTATTTGTATATCAAATAGATTGTCAACTGTCGATTGTTGAATATCGAAATCATTAATCGAATTTGTGTATGAAACTGATTAGATTTTGCGCTAATCATAGCAAAAATAGTTATAGATTAGATATTTATAYAATCAAATATATAAAGATAAATAGAGGTAATATTTTAGTTTTTGCTAATCTTTAGCTATTCTATTTGGGCACTAATATGCCCTAGCAAAGCTATTGTAGCGCATCGTATTTTGCGCACGATCAGCACTGCGCCTAGCACTACTGGATATACCAATATACATATATATATA